CAGTCTGTCTTTATTCTCAGACACTGATCTCATGACTTCGTCAAAAACAGCCTTCTGTTCGTTATTAAACATCTCCATCATCTCTTGTGCCTTAGCTGCTTCACTGTTAGTATCATAGTCTTCTGAAACATTAACATCATTTATTACAACTATTGGCAGTCCGATATTCTCTGGTTTCATGTTGTATGTGTTGAGTAGTGCTGCAAGTCGTTCCAGTAACAATATTCGTAATATCATTCTGCCTCTACTACACATTCATCATTTTTTACCATTATGACTAGCTATGCTAGTTTATTTGTAAAACTAAACATCAATTAGTGTGTAGCCGAAAATTATTTTAATTTAGCCTCAGTATCTTCTCTAATAAAGCACATATTATATAGGTTTTGCATTAAGTAGACACTGGAAAACACAATTCTTGGCTAGAAATATCATTTTCTCTGAATGATGTAGACGAAAAACTTCCATGTGTGTTCCAAAATACGTGAATCAAATAGTATCTATAAAATTATTTATCTCTATCAATATTAAAAATAAAATTTTTCTCAAATATACAAATTCAACTTGCGAGTTGCCTTTTTACCTTTTTTCTTATTATTATTATTATCGAAAACCTAACCTTTATTTAATTTCTGGGATTCCTGACAGAACATGTTTAGTCGAGAAAGTTCAAATACTTTCATGTTATATCTATTTTAAATGGTGTCTTGATTACTTTACGACAATTATGATAATGTATGCCTAAAATTCATCTCACTGATCCATAGTGAGAAATTCACCACAATTGGTTTTATTTGTACCTTTTTACCCTATGCAAATTATAAAATATCCTCCCACTTGTAAAGTATCTCATGACGTTACGACGAGAAAGTGCTTAAATTAATGTATCATATGGTAACTTAGAAGATACAATAAAAGTGATAATGTGTTATTATAGTAAGAAATAAAATTCGTAGGGTACTATCCTTCTACACGTCATGTAAATAAAAACATTGATCACCGAATCACGAAAATAATTTCATCCGTAATTTTACCTGTTTACTACCTCAGTTTCATTCGATGTTCTATAGGAGATAATAATTTAACGATACTAATTAAAACAGCAAATAACCAATTATTTAATCACTCTTCTTGGTCTTCTGTATCTTCTTCAATCTAAAGAATTCCTCCCTATCCTGCTCATCAAGTTCAGCATTTATATAATCTATCGTATTGTTAATCCTTGGTATTAGCATAAAATCGAGAGCGTTAACGCGCCTGTTGGTGTTCTTGAGCACTTCATCAAGAATAACGAATGAATTCTTAAGTGATGCTAGCTCAATTAGCCTGCCAATCACTGTTCTGAACGCATTTCTAGCGCTGAGATATGCGCTGCCAGACTTATCGAGGAACAGCAATGGGTTGCCAACATCCTGCTTGAGCGTGTACACCGGTAGAAATACGCCACTCACCTGCTCAATGCTCGATTCGATAGAAACGGGTGATCGTGAACATTCATATAAGAACATTTTTATGTTCGAACCGAGGAACTCTGCTTTGGCAAGCAGGTAGTACGCGTTAGTAATCGCCGTCTTGAGGTTGTGTTGCTCTTTCTCCAATTTGTGCTGTATTTGTCGGTGTTTGACTTGTAAAGCTTCACTTTTTCTCTTTAGGAGCGAATAGCCTTTTTCAGCACTTTTCAAGCGATTCTTGGTTAACGTAAGGTTCATTCGCGTGGGGAATACAGAAAGGCGGTTTTGTGTGGACATGCGATGGTGATTGAGGGGTGTTTTTATGAGCTGTAAACAAGAATTGTTTCGGAAAGTGAACTGTTTCAGATTTAGATATGCATATTAGGGATGTGTTGTTGATGTTGAGAATGAGATTAAAATACATCAAAGGTGTAGTTATTAAATTGTAAATACATTTGACATATGTGGTCGAAACATTCTAACTATAAAATGGTTATTCTCGACGAAGGATAAGAGGTCAAGAGATGCCGTATATAAAACAACTGGGAAGAAAAACAAATATAAAGTAAATGTTTAATAACCATGTGTTATTGTTACATAAAAAACTTCTTCAAAAAGTTAAATGCGCAGCAAAGCGGTTTTATGTCACAAGTACATTTGATTCATGTATAAAAATGTAATTCAATCGCTGGTCGTGAGCCTTCATGGCGCAATCGGTTAGCGCGTTCGGCTGTTAACCGGAAGGTTACCGGTTCGAGTCCGGTTGAAGGCGGTCTTTTGGTGGTACGCTAGTAGGATGTTTTTTTATTATCTGAAAGAAAATGTGATCAGTACGATAATTAATATGAACATTGGATGCTTGGTCATAATCATAAATACTGCTGCCTGCATGTGCCGTGTGGATGCATGCCATGTCATAAAATTTTAATTGCTGTTTGTGGATTAAAAAAATTGTGAACGAACCGTTCAATGGACAAATACACGCTGGGCAATATCATTGCACAGGGTACTACGTGCGTGGTTAGGGAGGCTGTTGACATTCTTGGCAACAAGTACGCGATTAAAATCGTTTGCCGTTCAGCCAGAAAATACAAAGACATAAAAAAGGAAATGATGATACACCAGCACCTGCAGCATAGCAATATCGTGAAATTCAAGGAATTGTTGATTGCAACCGATTACTTCATAGTGATGGAGCGTGTAGCATACGAGCTCTTCGTGTATATTGAACCAAAGGTGGGCATGCCACGGATGCTCGTGCATCTTTTCTTTGTGCAGTTGATATCAGCGATCGAATACATGCATGATAAGGGAATATGTCACAGGGACATTAAACCGGAGAATATTTTGTTAAGTGCTGCCGGCAATCTGTTCGTTACTGATTTTGGCTCTGCGACACTCTTTAGATACAAAGGACGGATACGAATACTGAATACGATATGCGGATCGTTGCCTTATATTGCACCTGAAGTGCACAAGGGGGCGTATAACGGCGCAATCGCCGATATCTGGAGCTGCGGGATTGTTCTTTTTGTGATGGCAACTGGCATTCTACCGTGGTCCCGAGGCGATCAGACGGATATCGATCTGGCGAACTATACAAAGCTAAAGTACCACAATTATGAGCCGTTTTCACGGCTCCCCAGAGACGTTAAACACGTGTTTGATGGGATGTGCCGTGTTAAGGTGTTGGAGCGGTTTACGTTCGGCGCAATCAAACAATCCTCATTCTTTGTGCAGCCAAACGAACTGTTGGGCACTGACGGGCTGTGCACGGACAGTGCAAAACTGTTTTCCTTCTTCAAAACAAAAAACGAACTCGTTCTGCCGTTCTCACAGCCTAACCAGCATCTTATTTCTCTTAATACTACAAATTTTGTATGCTCGCAACCAAACGGCAACGATTCAGTAAGCTTGCGCCGTGTTTATCTCTCGGTCGAGGAAGAGAAAATAATGAACCAGCTGATTCTCGTATTGGATCATTTCAACGTACAGTTCAAACGCAAAATGTTTGCGCTCTTCTTTTCAACGCTTGATACGTACCGGAACGTTTTGAACGGCGAGTTTGTTGTGAAGAGAATAAATAATATGTGTGTTATTTCTATTAATAGAGTAAAGGGGAGCACGTTAGAATTTAAGGAATTCTGTAATGTGATTTTGGGACATTTAAAGAGTAAATTAATGTAAATTTACTTATTACATGCTAAATTGGTACGTCAGTGTGGTAGAATAAAAATTTAACTAATTTACGAACGCGGCTGTTCATTAAAGCCTTTTTTACGTGATCATACATTTCGTGACGGATATTCGCCATTTTTTAAAAGAGATGTTCATTTTACACACCTCGTAAGCGTATTTTTCTATCCTACTGAGATTGCACAAAGTCTTTCTTTTTATTCCCGGGTTAATTTCTTGCAATAACTTGTAATCCGTTATTTTATAAAATATACATCTTTTGAAAACCTTGATAAATTGTACAAGTAACCTACAGTATAATTACCAAATGTACCGATACACGGCACTCTTTATATTTATTAGCACATCATTGTGTTTTTATGATAGCGCTAAAATGCTAAAGTTCATTGCAACATTTCGTCACGCGAGAAGTGGAAAGCCTTTTACGAAATATTGTACGGTATGATCTGTTAGTTTGAATATGAAGTGAACAAAATATTTAACAATACAATTTTAGCTAAAAATTGTTGGTAAAAGAGACCTTTTCAAAAAATGCTTTGTGATAAATAAATTGGCATTTTATTATGATTATTGAATCTGGTTTCACGTATTAGTAAAAATATTGGAATTATGAAGTATTTGTACGTACGGTTGCTGTGGTGATGATAATTAGCAGTATAACAAAATTATGGATTATAGAGCGGTAAATGTTGCAAGAGGAGTCGTAATTACAGATAAGTTTAAAGGCAAAGTAGTGTATAAAATGGAGAAATATTGTTTCATAATACATAATATGTACGAAACAATAAACTGGTCGTACTTTTATGTTTATGTTCTCAGACGTGGCAGTTTTTTATCATGAAATGTGTTGTAATAGTGTATTAGATTATTGTTAGAAAAAACCTGAAATATAAATTTTTTAACAAAATCACTGTCAGTAACAAAACTTGAAATACAAAATTAAAAAATACATACCGATGAGGCTCTTTTGCTTAATAATGTGCTATAAAAATATGAAAGAGCATTGATTATATTTTTATTACATTGAGGATGTTTAACATCGTGTGAGTCGTTATCTGATAGTTGACGTTTGGATAGCAAATTGACGTTTTAACTTTTGGTAGGTTTGAGAGAATAATATGCCCATTTTACCAGGAGATTGCACAAAAACAGGTTAAATGATTCACGACGTGACGAATAGCGATGCATCTCTAGCTTGTTATGCCTAAACCAGTATGCGTTTGCAGAACTGTTGATTTGATGATACTGTCAAAGATCTCAAAAACATCAAAGTGATAATCTACCATGAGTATTAAAATAGAATAATCATCTGCTCATGACATGTCAGTTCCTTGTTTAGAGTCATCTGCACTTACAAACAGCTCATCAGCCGTTTTGAGCAACAATCCCTCAGCACGGAACAATAAGAGTTTTACTACATGGAAGGTAAAAATATGCGCAATAATGGCATTCATCTGCTATGTGATTATTTACTCATCGCGGAACCTGCTCAATGGCCTCATTCTATCACGCCAAGGACCAATTACAAAGCTTGTTTCAATAGCACTGTATGTACAGCCGCTCTCTCTCATTTCATCGCTCTGGATTCGTAGGCAACTTAGACAATACACAATAAGACAGCTGTTGGACCATGCTCTTTTAGCGTTTGCAATTTATTTCTCGCTCATAAATTTTATACTTGTAAAGTTCCGGCACGTAATTGACGCAGATTCTTTTTACATCAACGATTTCCTTTCAGACGGAAAATCGCTTTACAAACGGGTTGATCTGCTGTTCGTGGCACTTTCTACGGTTACATCGCCAACGATTACCGTGCAATACACGATGATAGTGATTTTTGAATTCGTAGTGCAATACGTGCTGGTATTTTCGTTTTTTAACGATTTGTTCTCACAGAAACAGTTCAATAGCTTTATTTCTATCCTTTGTGTGTGCGATGTCGCCGGCAGTTTCTTGTCAAGCATCATTTCATCGCTGTATTCTGGATTAGGCAATCTTATAGGAGCGCATATGATAGATACAATGCAGATTGCGTTCTTTCTCATGGTGTCTGCGTTGTGTTTTGTTCTGCTCTATCTCACCAAAGAGATACAGAAATCGACACAACAAGAATGTGCAGCAGAACTCGATGACCAGTTTAAAATTCGGGTGGATAACTCGGACGAGAGTGTCTCTCTGACAACGATGGGTGTAATAAGCTGCATTCTACGCAACCGTTTTATCCGTTCGATCAGCTTTTACGTGATATTTTTCTTCTTCATCAACGAATTGCTATATGCCTCACTCGAAACCACAATTTGTGGAATGAATGGTAGCACTTCAGAGGCGGTATCATCCTCTGTCACACGTACTACGAGCATCATCCGTGGTGTGTCATCTTGTGTCATTCTTGTGTTTCTACTGAGCTCGCTCTCTCGATGGCTGATCACGCACAAATGGACGCTTCTTGTGTACACCACACCTCTGTGGTGTTTTTTCTCTTGCATCACCATTTTCATGCTAGACACTGTCCGTGCAGGTATCGAAGGACTAAGTCTATCGTTCATAAATCGTAAAACTTCATTTTTAAATGATGCTGATTTCATTTTCTTTAAGGATCATCTTGAGAGCGCGACTCTTGTTATTAGCGTAGTGGTTTGTATTTTCCTAAAGATCGTAAAAACGGTAGCGTTTTTTATGTCTAAGGAAACGCTCACAATGATGGTCGATAGAAAAGTACGCTCCAGGATACGACCGATCTACGATGGTATGTGTCCTCTGATCGGTAAGTCACTTGCTGCAATAACAATGGTTGTATGCGCAGAAATAATGGAAACGTACAACGCACGTGTATTTTCCATATTCTTGCTGGTTATTAGTGTTTTCGTGGTGTTGTACTGGTTAAAAAATGCAAGGTACCTCTGTTTGAGGTATATGAACGACGTTTATACAGGTTGAAAGAATACTGATTAAATCTTTTTAATCGATTTATAATTTTACTAGCACTCGAGCAGGAGTATTCAGAAGATCATGTAAGATGATGTCATATGAACACCTTTTATTTACTTTTAGAGTAACGGAGGAAACACGTAATATAATGTGGTAATAATTCTTATTTACTTTCTTAAACTGATCTTCAACTGCTCAAAGTAGTGAAAAAATTATGTGTTTGAAAATTAGACTAGAACGAGGTAAAACTTTTTGTTCTATTTTGCAAATATTTAAAGCAGTTAACATATTTTGCCAATGTTTGTTTGATGAAAGACAAAATTCGTGTTATAATAGGGGAAATAACATCATTTTCTCCCAGAAATAATGAAAACATGTGAATATTACCAAATCTACATAAAAAGTATATGTAATATTAGACTGGCGAAGCATGTCGTGATTAATTCTGATTTGATGCATTTATCTCAAGTATTCTCTGGTAGCCTTCAAACTACCATGTAACGAATAATCAATATGGTGAATGTAAGTAACTTTTAAATATTTTGGCATCATATGACAAATGTGTAACGTACGATTAGTGTAACCATCTCAAAGACAATAAATTCTGAGTTAAAAATTCGTTTTTTCGATTCATCGTATTTTATAATA